GGTGTGGGGGGGGGGCTCTTCCTGACTGATTACCAGCAGGTGTTTGTCAAACGCAGGAGTTTAGAAACATTGACTTGCAACAGGATTGCGTGTTTGGACGCGTGAAGGAGGCGGAATAAACCTTCCAAACACTCCAGGAAATTTCCCAACCAAAGAAACAAAAGAACAGCTGTGGATGAAAACAGCTCTTCAGCTGCGCGCTTTGCAAAGCGGCGCAGATCCAAACGGAGGGGCGTCATTTGAATATCATATCTAAGCAAATGTCTTGGCCTTGTTTATGCAAAGGAGCAAACAGGATAGTAGATGCATTGTGTGATAGAGAGACAGGACAGGTTTGTTTGTTTGTTTGTTTGTTTTCTCAGGCCACAGGCATCATGACTGATGATGAGATCAGATGTTATCTGCTTTTCCAATGACTGATATCTGAAGATTATTTTACATGTTTTAGTAACAAAAAACACTCCATAGAAAGATACAGACCGGTTCAGTATGAGCAGGAAAATGATTTACCAAGTTACATTAATTATTAGCTCAGTTTTAATTACTCATTAAAGTTACAACTTCCTCCTGATTAAAATAAATATTTTACTTTGATTTATCTGTTTTTTTTTTTTTATGGGACACAGACAGTTTTCCTCAGATGAATCTGATTCCTTCCTGCAGCATTTAGTCCCATTAAGGATCCAGTCAGTTATGAACTTAGTCCAGGAAAATAAAACATTTAACACCAAAAGTTCAGTTTGTTAAACTTTCTGACCTTTTTCTCCAGCAGATTCTCCTCGCAGCTCGCAGACGGACTCCTCGCTGGTTTTTCTCTCTGTGTCCCTGATAGTTTGGAGGAATTGCTGTTTACTGAGTGACTGTGCAACTTTCTGTCACTCCTATGAGACACTTTTACCAAAGTTATTTCTCTGCACTCCTGTGAGAGAGAGAACTAAACACGCCCTTTATGGGACCTCACCTCACCCCCCCTGCAAACACTCAGCCACCCACTCACTGTGACACAGAGGAGAGTTAGCAGCAGAGGGGAAGTTGGCTGACAGGCCTTTAAACTGATGGAATATGATCACATGGGGCAGGTTTTTCACAGCAGTCATTAAATAAATCATTGTTGCAACCAATAAACACGTCATTAATGAATTCATTTTCACAAATCCACTTCTGTTCTTCTTCTCAATGATTATTCTGATGAACTGTAAACTTTGGCGCCTAAAATAAACATCCCAAATCAGTTGATTAGTTTTTGTTAACTGACCGCCTCCATGTTTGGATATATGTTTTTTTTTCCCCGTCTTTAATAACTTATCAATTAGTAATTAATCAATAAATGGAAATAAATGGAAGATTAGTATTTGCTCTGTTTGATCTGTTAGTTTACAAAGTTACTACTAAGCAAAAATACAACAATACAAGTACAAAAAAAAAAAAGAAAACAGAAATGCAAATAAGAATTTAAAATTACCCAAACCGTGGATGAGGCTGTTAGACTCACTGCCAGCAGGTGGCAGCGATGCGCCTGGATA